AGCCATATACGATTCTAACATTTCGGTACATATAGGTCGCAAGGAAATCATTACATTTTTCTACATCTTTCTCGCGCTGACTATCTGCTCACTTATCATTGATGCGGGGGTTGTTCCGCCAAGAAGCGGTCCGTTCCCCTACTTCGTGGCCGTCCAGAGTGGTTTAATATCGGCTCTATGTGCCTGTCTGCTAGTAAATGGCTTCGTTGGCTTCCAGCTGTACGAGGATGGCACGGCACTTTCGGTGTGGCTGATCCGGCTTAGCTCGGTGGTCATGTTTGCTATGACATTCGTGATCTCTCTTCTGACCTTCAAGTCATGGGGTGGCCTCGGCCCCGAGAATACCGTTGGGCTGTTTGTGGTTCTCTATCTTCTCAATGCTATCGCGGTAGCCATCTATGTTGTCATGCAGCTACTGCTAGTCGTGAATACCCTGGATGACCGCTGGCCCCTGGGCCATATCTGCTTTGGTATCTTGGTATTTATTATCGGTCAGGTGCTTCTCTACGCATTCAGTGACACCATTTGCAACAATGTGCAGCATTACCTTGATGGTCTCTTCTTTGCCACCTTTTGTAATCTGCTTGCTGTTATGATGGTTTACAAGGTATGGCACCGTATCCTTGAATTGATTAAATTTAAATTACTAACAATATCAAGTTCTGGGATTCGATCACCAAAGAAGACCTGGAATTCTCCGTTGGTGTGAAACCCAACACGTGGGAGGTCAAAGAACTGCTACCGGAGGAGGACCGCCGACAGACTGTCTATCATGATAACAATTCAGAATATGCAGGCAGTGTGTACCACCACCGACAATCAAATTACGGACATCACAATTACTAGCCATTTCGTGTTTGGGATATGGTATATGCGACCATTGATATGACGATATTTTGATTTCTTCGTTACATTCTGTTTCAGCCTTTAGGTGTTAGCGCTGCATCGGATGGGCTTGTTTGCATGTGAGACGGCCTATGAAAATCTCGCCATTATGGGCGGTACTTTCTCATCTACCGAAGGATCTAGGCGGAAGGCATACTACGACAAGTAAATCCCGATGTTGCTGTCGATCTCCGGTTAGGCCTCTCCATCATTAATACCTAGTGTAGTTTTGGATTTTATAGCATATGTAACTTATTCAATTGGAGTACATTTATCTATCCTATTTTCTTCATTGCTGATCCGATACCACCCCATTGGTGATCAGGTTCCAATGTGGAGACCGAACGCCTTCCCATATTGTCGTTGTCTCCGCTGGTGGTATGTAGACTGAGTAGAGGAGGCCCGTCAACTGCAGCTTGGCTAAGTTTTCCTGAATCCTCTTCGGGCGCTGTGCCGTCCTTCAAGCTGCAGGAGACACCGCCAGGAATGCGCTTGCTTTTTCTGTTCCCTGGTGGTGCGGCCGACGCTTGACGTTGTCTCGCATCGAAGCCAAAAGATCGGATCCGCAAGGTATGAGAGATCGCCACAATCAGCGGCTGAAACAATTACAAAGATCGACGCTGCCATGGTCCACCGTCATTTTGGTGACCTGCCAGTGGGTTTAGCTTCCGGGCATGACTGCCTTGATAGGAAGGGGGCCATGTAGTGGACGAATCTGCATCCTGCAAATTAAAGTTGGTAAAAACGCCCGGCCAACAGGGTTTTTTCTTGATGCTTTGCGGCAATTATTTTGGTGTCGTATCGAGACCTTTCAGGCTTGTCAATGTGACTGCGGCACCCACGGACGAAAGTTAAAGAGGACCAGGCTGCCGATCAGGGGGGTTGGCGGCGTGGAGAAGAACTTTAGATTCTTTCCCTCGGAAACTTTCATCGAGGCTAAAAATTCTAAATGCGGAGACTGGGAAGTGAAAACTTTGCAAGCTCTTTAACATGTCAGGAGTGGAGTAGGCTTTTGATTCACTCGATGAGCACAATGTCGCTATCTGTGGATTCATCGCCCGCCAAATTCTGACCGGTCCCTTCTCGATCCGGTTCCGCCCGGAGCATCGCCAGCCCCGATCGACCATTCCGATGATGAGCCTGCCAGCTTCACCAACTAGCGTCATATAAGCGGGGTTCTCTTTGGGCAAAAACATGCTAACGTGTGCCTTGACCTCGTCCGTTGCCCTGTTGTTGGTGGCTTTGTACCAGTACAATCCTGGTTGGCGGCCAAGTTCATTCTGCTCCCCGTTTTCAACTTCAGGGGGCAGTGTACAGAAAGTTCTGTGGTTAGATCGAATGATCTTCTGACTGAAGGATGTCTTCGTCACCTCTTTATTCTGCACAAGGGATGAGGCTCCGTCTCCGAGACAGGTAAAAAAATTCACGCATCGAATATTGCGATCATTCTCTACGTTAGACAAGCTAGCAAGACGCTGCCGCAGATCAGATGACCGCCCCAGACAGCCGACGAACTCGAGATGAGACGAGACCCAGTTCACGCCTGCGGATAAATTCTGTCTCTGGGAGTACAGAGCAGCGGCACCGCCAGCTGCAACGGCGCCTGCAGCACCAGCATACATGGCATATCGTCCCCATCTTTGCCAGGATGGGGTTGCAGCAGCATCTGTCGACGGAGGAAGGGGCTTTGCAGCCTCAACTGCAGGGGCACTGGCAGCAGGAGAAGCGGATGAGCGAGTAGATTCGCCCTTTTTACCATAGCCGAAGATTCCAGCAACCTCGTTGAAGGTGTTGTATGCTGTGGTTGCGTTGTGAAAATGCCCCTCGGCTCCATATGATACAACCCCTGGTGCGATACCCAAAAACGGAGTATCAAAGGCGAGCACGCCTTGTATATGGGGAAACATAAAGGTGTCAGGCTCGATGATAGGCTCTTCCCTTGATTGAGCCGTCTCGTCAGGCTTCGAACGAATGGGTTGCTCATTGGCTAGTAGCAGCAACGTTTCGGCAGCAAGAATACCACCCATGGAATGTCCGACAAGGAAAACGTGAACAGAAGGGTCCACCGTCGGGGATGGTGTCTCGTTAGCAACCTCCAAGTCAATCACAGTGTTCTGCAACCTGTAGGGAATATGAGTCCGGAAAGATCATTTTCGGCACAGATGAGGATTACCAACCATTCTCTCAATTTTGCAACAGATTCCTTCAGGTCGCCTTTCGTCTCATACTTCGGGTAGATGGCCACTTCGATATTCAAAGCAGAGAGATGTGAGCCGAGAAGCGTCCGAATATCTCCAGGAAACCTAGCGAATGTATCATCATCACCCTGTAATCGTCCAATTACTGTTAGACATCCCAAATAATTCGGACTTAGATAGAGCGAACGCGCTTTATGACAGCCTTACCTTGAAGCCGTGAATGAAGACGAACAGGAGCGTCTTGCGCTTTTGGGAGTCATTGCCGAGCATGTTTGACCATGAAGGCGGTGCAAGGCACGATCGCCTTAAAAGAAGCAAGCTTTGGCGCCTCTGTATATTGACAAAGGCGGGCAGCCAGGAATGCGATGTGAGAGTTGAGAATGTCTGAGGTCCAAATTGGAAAACACGAGCCTGGGCGTTTATCGGCCCCAACGTCATATCGACACGTGATCCGGGGTATACCATGTAGTAGGTTCTATTCGATATACTAGGGCTTAATGAACAGTAATGTATTCATTAAATTATAGTATAATAGCCTCGTTGCTACTGATAATTCCATTTTACCCGTAACTGTGTTAGAGAATGTTGAATGTGAGGTGAATCGCCCTCGGGCTGTTGCTAGTCAGTGAGGGCATCCGGAAAGGTCAAACTTTCCGTGGTCATCATCTGGCCAATACTTTGAATTTTCTAGGGAGAGTTGATTAGATTTACAGCTTACCTGAATCAAAGTACTTTGAATAAAAATAAACTTAGTATATGGTAATGTGTGATCTTGCCAACAGCGATAATCTTTACCTACGTAGGTTGTATCTATGGTAGAGAATTTACTGGAGTTTTTATAGGATTGGCAGCGTTCCAAGGTTGGCGGAATAGTATGTACTAGTAATTACTAGATTGCTATGTAAAATGTAGGGTTAGACCCTGAAAAACCTGGAAGCAAGGCAAAGGTTCCAACTTGAACCTGAAGGTTGGGCACTTCTCCCCAAATTTCAGATTTCACCCCCCCCCCCCCCCATATATATTAGTACTAGAAGGTACCATTAAGTGTTTCTTGCGGTCGCAGAAAATATTTGTTCAAGGACACAGAAGAACTTAAATGGTACAACTGTGCGTGACTACTCTAGCCTAGAAGCTAGATTATCAAACAAAACCACATATAACTGTGGTTGAAATTGGCATAGCACCTGAGCAGCTTGTTTGTCACTCTAGCAAAAGCTCAACAAAAGCAAGGCATAAATCAATACTGTCTAGAAATAGGTGGTTATAAAATACCTGCTATTACCAAGTAGGATGATCCATAGATCAAAATTTTTGTGGGTCAAGTATTCCGCTTAGATTCTTGGGTTCGTGGGCAATTTCCTTTCCATGATTCGTATTTGTTGGAAGGTTATCCCCTCTTTTGAGTTTGCTACTTTGCAGCTTAATATATTAATAGATTGCCCCTTCATAACATCTAATTGGCAAGATGGCCGAGTTGGTCCAAGGCGTCAGGTTAAGGTCAACCTTAACTCCAATTTCCTGATCTCCGCAAGGGGGCGTGGGTTCGAATCCCACTCTTGTCATTTTTTGTCTTCTCTGGTCTATAATTATTTTTGGTGTTTTTTAAAAGTAGACTGGAGCATATGTTAACAATCCCAGCCGTTTTCCCACTGTTCTTTGGGGTTGGCTTGTTTTGTTTCGGCCCGTTGATGAGCACTTTTCTAGCTCCAATTACGGACCTCAGGAATATCTATTACAAGTAGTACTAGTACTGCTAGTTTTCATGGAACTTCTCATTCCGAACTGCCAGTTATCTAGTGGCACGTTTAAAATACATTGAAAATCTCACGACGCGTCCAATTAGAGGTTCTTTCAATGGTCTATGCGAATCTAGCTCTAGGGGTTTCGCTTAAATGTACAACAAAGACAACTTGAACCTCACAGATTCTCGCGGCCAAGTTTTCGTAATCGAAGCAGGCTGTCTTGTAACGATGTGGCAATTAATGTGCCATCCGGACTCCAAAGATAACTCTCATGAACAGCCCTGTTCTCCGCCGACTGGGGCGTCCAACCCTCCTGGATAAACCATTTCAAAGCCAAACCAGAGTCCTCGGTAGGTGATGTATCCCAGTCAACCATGCGTAGGGCCTCCCCATGTTGGTGCACAATGACGGTTAAAGTAAGACTGGCCATTTCCGCCCAGTGCTTGATTCCAAGTGACCGCGGAATCAACAAGAGAGAGTTCTTGTCGCTAGAGTACATATGCGCGCAGGCATATAGATTGTCATAATCTCCCGCTTGGTCCATCTCCTTCATCTGGGAAATTGTCACACTCGGGTCCGCATCGGGCAGACCCTTTAAGCGGTATTGTGTCAATTGTCGATATTTTTCAGGTCGTTCTTGAATGGCTTTGGTTTTGTTGTAGTCTTTCATGTCTATTTTCCGGACATCTAGTCCTGGAAATTCACGCTCGGAAATATTGCCTTCTCGCACGCCGTCAATCCACCAGTCAGCATCGATACTGGGACTGACGGCCTGATCCTCCGGTCGTTTTCCGGCCAATACGGATTGGTATCGCTCCTGAACCGGCGAAGGCTGATGACGGAAGATGCGCTGCTTCTCATCGCGCTTGAATGAGCAGAGGCAGGAGAACATGATCCTGCCATCCTGTCGAGCATCGACAGCCCTTGTGCAGTACATGAAACCATCTCGCACGTGTCGAACAGCGTAGAAATAAGGGACATCCAGTCGACCGGGCAATATGAATGTACCCGTCATATCCTGCAGACTGACATTAGTCTTTAAAGATTTCTAATGAAAACATAATTTCGCAGTCTGATGATTTATGGACAGAGTAATACTGACATGAACTACAAATCCCTTTCCGACGGTCTTTGAAGCCGCATAAGCGGACTGGGCATAGACATGTCCTCCAAATGAGCGTGTCCCCTGACCAGGAGGATAAGGTGCAGCCAAAGAGCGAAATCTTTCGACCTTTTCAGGCCCAAGTGTACTCGCATTTAAAACTTCCGTGTCCTCTAGCCTTTCCAGGGCCATTAATTGCGCGAATGAGGAGGGGGATGTCAACTCATCCGGATCTTGGTCCGACTGCTCGCGCACAGGCGACATGGTTATAGGGGAGCCAAAAAAGTCCAATTTAAGATATCACTCGCAGAAAGGAAAAATCGAAAGCATCACCAATGAAAAGAATTATTGCGTTTGTTTGACAGTTGGGGTTGGGATGTCCGGGGAAATTGCCTCGGCGCGGGGCGAGTCAGTCACGTGCTCAAATTGCCCCTGGTGGACAAGTTAAAGGCGAGATATTATCAATAGCGCGGAAATGGATAAGATGGATGAAAATCGATTGGTATTGCAGTTTAATACAAAGTTGCGCCGGTCGTGCTGACAGTGCTGAGTGGTTATGCCAAAAATTTCCCATGCCATAATGATACAAGAAAAGAGAAAAAGAAAACAGAGAAGAATATAAAAGTGGCCAAAGATCACTGCCCCAGAATCGCAAAGTCTTATCGAAACAATGGTTTAATCAGAAACTCCCCCTCTTGACATTTGGTTTCGTTTAGAGAGAGTTGGTGATGCTGCGAGTCTTGTTCCATTGAACCTTGCCCTCGATGTCCTTGATCTCCTCAAGTTTGTCACCCAGCTTGACGACAGAGAAGTTGATCATTCGGGGATCGAGACCGAGGGTACGGCGAATGGAGGTTTGAACGGGACCGGATGAATCGAATCGCATGATGAAGTGGTGTCCTTCGCTGTAACGGGCCTGGTGCTTGGTGGTGACCTTGGGCAAGCGGAAGACGCCCCAGTTGGTGTAGCCGCGGACGACACCGCCGGAGCGGATGACCTGAGCACCAGCATTACGGGCAATTCTGTCAATGAGGAACGTTAGAAAGGGTGATGAACGATGGGCAATGACTCGGAAGGTGGTTTCGAGATGTTACGTACTCGCGAACCTCGTTGAGGCTGCCCGGGCGGACCTGCAGGGAGAAGAGCACACGTCAGTAAATCCGTCTCAATTCGGGGTAGATCAATCGGAAATCGATGGACACATACAATAGCAATCAGCTCGTACAACATTTCATCGAGTGGTGGGGTGTAAGGCCCGGATAAAAGTGACTAGACGGGGGTTTGGGAGGCCGGGCAAAAACCCAAGGCCAAATCAAATCTTGAGGTCGGAGCTTATCGCGGGTCTTGGCGCGGACTTCTCTTATCGGAGCCCATTTGCATTTCCTATGGATCTCCGCCGGGGAACCACCGGCCGTGCTCTTTCCTTCTTAAACTCTCCCTTCCTCTCTCCTCTTCTTTTCCAACTCCTCAATTCACTTCACTTCCTCTCCAAAATGTCCTCCGTTGCTCGCTCCATCCGCCCCTTTGCTTCCCGGGTCCTTGCCCAGAAGCCTCTGGCCTCTACCTGCCGCGCTGCACCTGCTTTCCGCTTCCCGCGGGGAACCCGGAGCTTCTCTCAGAGCCCTCTGTGTAAGTGGTCTCGCTCTCCAAACTGCCATAGGTGACCAAAAGGGTCTTCAGAGACCTTCCACCATTGAATTGGCTATGAAAATCATGTTGCGATTGCTCAATTGAGTTCTTGGTTGTGATCGATAGCTAACGACGTCATCAATTGGATCCCACAGCTCAGTTGAAGAAGTACACCGAGTCGCACGAATGGATTGAGCTCGCTGACGGCGGCAACACTGGTGAGTCACTCAGAATGCCTAAGAATATCTCATTCAACCAAATCGAGCTTCCATTCTCGAATTATCCATAGCTCAAGACCATTACTGACGCGCCCCGCTCCTACAGCCAAGATCGGTATCACCGAGTACGCCGCTCACTCCCTGGGCGACGTCGTCTTCGTTGAGCTCCCCGAGGCTGACCTCGAGGTTGGTGCTGGTGAGCCCGTCGGTGCCGTCGAGTCCGTCAAGTCCGCCTCCGATGTGCTCTCCCCCGTCGCCGGCAAGGTGATCCGCGGCAACGAGATCCTGGAGGACAACGCTAAGACCATCAACGCCAGCCCCGAGGGTGAGGGCTGGATCGCCGAGATTGAGGTCGCCAATGTCGCTGAGCTCGAGGCTCTGTTGGACGAGGCTGCCTACAAGGAGACCATCGATGCTTAACTTTGAATTTGTAGAGAATATATTGGATTTTAGAGGCAAGGTCGTTTGTCCCGAGAAACGGCTGTTGGTGTTCTCTCGTCCCTTGTGGACTTTGTTATGCGTTTCCTTATGATGTCATATTATATTGGTCTTTCACGAAGACACGTTTCTTTCAACACAATACATATAGATGGGATGGGCCCTCCGCGGTCTCAGCCTATCGTTCAACAGTCCAGACTCTCTCAACTCATTTAGAACCCGAGTGTCTTCATACCTTTTCAACGCCTCCTTGGTTGACTTGGAAATGCGAAAGAAAGGTGGCTTGCGGCTTTTCGAGGTATACTATGTTTTCGGGATGTTACCAGACCCAGCGCCTCATAGTGCTTGTTACAAATGACCCAGTATCACTAGTATAGATGATACTACTAGTACTACTAGAGCTAACAGTAGAGTTCTCAAACATCAACAGTATGTAGTAGGGTATCTTAGATTAGGGTTGTCATAAATTATATACACGCTCATCATGGTCTAACATATTACTTCCAAAGAAATAGCTAGCTCATCTCCTGTCCCTTTCCTCAAAGGAACTTGCGGTGAACTTGAACCTTGACGCAGCTTGGGTTCTGGGGCTTGGCCTTGCCGTTGCCCAAAACCCAGTTCAAGGTGCGATACTGGTAGGCGGAGTAGTTGGTCTCACAGACATACCAGTTCTTCAAGACCTTGACCTTATCATCCTTGGGAGGGGTGACGGAGTCATCGAGATAACTGTAGATGCCCATGAGTCCATCCTTGTCGAACATGACTTGCTGCTGGTCGTAAGATGGCTGGAACAAGGGCATGGCGACGTTGGTGGAAGGATCAACGTAGAAACTCATGGGTTCGGATTCCACCTCTGTGTGGTCTGTTAGCGATACCTGGAAGATATAGAGTGAAACTAGTATAGATATGTACTCACGATTACCGTTATAGGGGAGATTCCAGACGAGGGTTCCGGAGGGCTTGTCGCCCTTGATGGGGGCTTGTGATCCCTCGGTGGTGTTCAGATAGAACTCCGAGCCGGATCCACCAGCCAGGCAAAGCGATTCAATAGCGGCACCGGTGTGGCAGGCGGCAAGCTTTTGGCCATTGATGGCCTTCTTTTCCGATTGAATAACCAAGTTGAAGGGTTTGGACTGGATCTCCTGGGCGGTGACAGCTCCAAGGAGGAGCAGGGAAGTCAGGGCAGTGATGGACTTCATTGTTGGTGAAGAGTTGTGGAAATTGAGTGATCACTGAGGTGTGAAAAGGAGGTGAGGGGAATGTTCTAATCAATAGAAGTTTGTAGAGAGAATAATTGATGGCTATGGAAAGTTGGAGCAGGCAACATCGGGCATTTTATATTTGAAGAAACATCCGGTTTCCTGGTTCATGCGGAGGAGGACCCTGAGACATGCGTGGTTTAGCGTCATCGACCAGCATCAAAAATCGGTCAGATCGTCGGTTTAGCTTCGACTGGGAGTAACCATTCCCGAGATTCCATGGGCAAGGCTGATAATTCTCGCATAAAAATAACACTGCTGTGGCGCAGCTAGTCTTCAAGTTTCTTTGAGGGCCGAGTAGCCGAGAGAGATGAAGCTGCAGAAACTATTCCGTACATGGAAACTAGTTCCAAAAGGTCTGTGGCAAAATATGGGGAACTGCAGAATTCCTGAAGCGAGCTTGAAGCCAATTGGGGCGAACTCGTCAAGGCAGGTGACAAGCCTTGGTTGGTGCACAGACCCCTTCCACTGGTGCAGGCGAAAGCCGATCATCGGGATTTTTAGCTGCGGAATCACCGAGAGCCCTGGAGACCGATGCATTTAACTGCAGGATGAGCCTGTGCATAAGGTGCACCAAACTACAAGTGGCCAGCGCTAACTTGAATAGGAATTTCCCCATGTCTCACCTTCTCTGACTATCACTCACTTCGCCACGAGATGGTACAGTTGGTCATGGCTACTAGTATCAAATGACGGGGTTGACATAAATAATTCCTCATTTTAACCAATGGGCTGGGGATCGGTAAATTTCAGCTCAAGTACATAAAAGTGTATTGAGACAAAAAAGAAATATTTCAAGATCAACACACAGAGTTCGATCTTTCTTCAAAGATAATATAAATTTATATGCAAAACACGAATATCAACACATGCTAACTTTACACGGGGGGGATGGTGTCACGGCAGATCGGACATTGCAGACGAAGCCTCATCCAACTCTCTAGGCAGGCAGTGTGGAAGATATGCCGGCAAGGAGTCACCATGTATTGGCGACGACTCAAAATGCTCGCAGCCCCATCAGTCACACTACTTCCACCTGCAGAAGTGGGCCCGGGAAGAATAGGAACCTCGATATCCTGCATGCAAATTGCACAGTCAAACATCACTCGCTTCCGATCTTTAGACCATTGCTTGTCATCATCTTTAGAGTCGACCACATCTTGTTTATCGGCTCGGAGAGATTCGATCGAGAGATTGCCACCTGCCTCAAGGTCATCATCGGGCCAGGCGTTCTCCCGCAACGTGGGGTGATAATCATATGCGGGTGGCGCCCAGCCCCGTGGGACAAAGAAGCGCGGGCCCAATATATCCTGGCTGGCCAATATCCAGGCTTGGACCCACACCCATCCAGCCAACGCAAATGCGGTAGTCCACTCCGTTTGGATGAATAGCACATTCCCACGAGCCGTGAGGAAGTAGAGGAAAGGGATTAGTCGGAGAATGCTCTGACCAACAACAAATTCCCACCGGAGTGCCTTGCGACAGTTGCGCATCACATTGCGGTAAATTTGGGGAACCCAGAATGACAGGTAAACGGTTGACAAAAGGCGACAATAGATTGCACCCATGAGCGTGGGAAGGAGGAAGACCCAAACCGATAGAATAAGTATACCGAAAAGTGCGAAATAAAATCGCCCATACATGGCGCCCACATCGGCGCGCACCTGTCGTGGCGTAGCAGGAGCGGTTCGGTTAGCTGGTGCCGGCTCTGGCTCCATTTCATCGTCGGGTGCATCTTGGTCAGGAGGCAAAATAATCGGTGTAGCGCCAGAGTCTCGCACTAGAGAAGTTGCGGGGAGGGGAAGCGTTCCAGGGCGGGTGACAGGGGTCGGTGGATTCACTGGTCGTTCTTCACGCCGTTCGGGTTCCTGAACGGCCCAAATTTCCATCATGAATTTCATGCCAATATAACTGACAGAAAGGAAGACCAAGAATGAGGCAGTCGCAATAACCAAGTAGGAAATAGCTTCAAAGAGCTGCGCAACAATGAATAGCATGACGAAAGAATCTCCAAACGCCATTAATGCAATGGTATAAAAGCTGACCCGACTTCGGGTGGAAGGTGTCGACGCCTCTTTAATCTGACGTAGCAGGAGACTGATCTGTGCGACAAAAACCCCCCAAACGACAAATATGAGACAAGAGGCAGCTTTACTGTACTCTTCATTCTTTGGCCCTGACAGATATAGCGCATCTGAGGGTGGATATTCGGGGGCCCCCTTGGATTCGAGAATGTATCCACAATCTGGAGAGAAAACCACGGCAGACATGGTCATAAGAGGTGGGTGTGGAATGGGTGCTCCCATCGGGTACCTTAATTCCCTTTCTATCCAATCGACCGTCATTCGATCCGCCAAATGACCGTCAACGACGAGGGGATGTTGTTGCAGAAATATGACATGTTCGCATTTTGGCGCAGCAAATTCCATTTGTTCAGTGCCTGCCAAAGATGCCCAAGGTAATAGGGTTGGAGGTCGGTTTGGCTTTTCGAGCATTGTATCGGAGAGCGATTTCAGTAGGAGATGATGAGACAACTCGTAACTGTCGGCTGAGAGTGCAAGATGAGGCAAAGAGAATATACCGCCAAACTTCTCACTTGATGTGCTTAGGATAATCGCGCCATTCTCTGGAAAATGGACGCCGAATAGTTCGGAACGCCAAATACTTCCCCAGAAGTCGTCACTCTCTATCGTCCAACTCGCTCTGATCTCACGCGCAAGTCCATCTCCAATACGTAATTCTTGCCCAGGTCCTTCCTCCAAATCGAAATAGAATGTCCCCTCGCTACCTGTTATGTTCAAGCCGAAATCATGAGTGAAGTATTCATGTTCCTCCGCGATGGCGGTTATGTTCAAAGGTATGGCGCGCTGTACATCTGACCGACGAACCCAGCCTCCACGTAATTTACCAGTGGCATTGCGGTAAACCGGGAGGGACAGCTTGGTCAGATTCAACGAGGATGATGTGTTGGAGCCGTCTAAGCCGAGTGGGGGGGTCGACGCCGTAAGTTGACAGTACAGATTGCAGTTGATCACGAGCACGGCTTTGGGCCTTGGGGAAAAGGTCCCAGGCATATGTATCGTTCTTTCGTAACCCTGGGATAGGAACCCAATGATCGGCGACGGGATTGAAGTCGCCATAATGTGACTCGTTCAAGAGTCGGATCGCACGCTGCTCTCGATCAAGCTCCCGTTGACGCAGTCGGCCTTCATCGACCAGCGGAGGTCGCGATTGTGAACTGAGGAGAAAGTAGAAAACTAGCAAGAAGAAGAAGAACGAGCCGCGGTTATCCATCGATGCCGGGGGTGGGCATCAGCCTCCTTAGAACGCAACAGTGATCATCGCAAGACAAGCACAGATAGTTCAGTGCGCGAGTTCAAGTACCGCGCGCGCAACCATAAGAGCCGACGACAGTGAATGACGAGGGTGGTAGTGTTAGAGGGAACAGGAAGTGGATGATGTCCTCGACATGCGGTCGAGGCCCTTCTAGTCTCCGGCTCTCCGGTTCCCCCGCCCCTTCCGCCTTTGAGGTCCTCCAAGTTCAACGCCTGATTCCCCAGGCAAACACGGAGTCTCCACTATCCTATCTCCTGATTGATTTCCCTTTGTCTCCCCCTCACGAGACACGATACTATCGACTCTGTTCCTGGTTTCGGAACTGAAGTCGTCAAACTTCTATCTAGATATCATGATGTCCTCAACCCTCCCATTGCCAATCCCTCCGCGTACTCCAACACCGCCGTCCGATGATGGCCGCGATCAATATGCTCCCCGAACGACCCAGGACTATCAATCGATCGTGATTCCTTGTCGCCGCTGAAGGAATCATTCCCCCGGAGCGCGACGCTCGATCCAGTCAATTCAGAGCGTTTTAGTCCTACGAAATCGTCGTTCAATCTGAGTTCCAGGGCAGCAGATACGCCTGCCTCGGTGCAGAATGGCGCGAGCGACTCGGTCCCCGCAGCGCCCTTCAATTTCGATACAACTGTTATGTCCAAGGGTCCTGTGGTCAAATCGGTGAGTCTTGCGGACATGTCGACACAGTCTTACCAGGGTTAAATGCTAATAAATTTGTCGGTATTTCCAGAACATCGGACAGCGTCGCGGTCACAAGTACAAGCACAGTAGTATCTCGCACCAGATCTTCCTCGAGCCCCCTCCACGTGCGCCTTTGGCTTTGCCCAATTCCCTCCCCATTCCAACATTGAAAGAGTGCCGCGCAAGTATGTCGAAGGACCAAAAAACACGCTTTTGGTGGAGTCTCTGCCACATGTTCGTGGCGGCTTATACACTTTGGACGGCGCATGGGTCATTGGCCATGACAGCATTGTCCCATTTGATCCTGTTTGACTCACTGGGAGCCCTTGTGTGTGTTGCCGTGGATGTTCTCAGCAATTTTGAGGTCTGGAAAAGGTCAAGTATTCGCCACCCATTTGGCCTGGAACGGGCCGAGGTGCTGGCTGGATTTGCAATGTGTGTACTACTTTTGTTCATGGGCCTCGACTTGATCTCCCACAATCTGCAGCATTTTTTGGAGAAATCGGGCCACGAACCCCATCATTCTCATGACCATGATCGGGTTTCCCTGGGTAGCGTGGATGTCACGGCGGCTCTCGCCATATCCTCGACCTTGGTTTCGGCGATTGGTCTCAAGAACCATGCCCGTATTGGCAAGGCGATGCGATTTGCATACATCGAGTCTTTGCCGTCCGTTTTGAGCAACCCTTCCCATTTTTTGACTTTGTCATGTTCTACTCTTCTTCTACTTTTGCCTCTGGTGTCGATTCGAATCTACGACTGGCTGGACAAGTTGTTGTCCGGCACCATTGCCATTTCCATGTGTTTTCTTGGAGTCCGCCTTGTGAAGACATTGGGCTCCATGCTTCTCATGTCTTATTCGGGCCAGGGAGTGTCTGATGTGATCAAAGATATCGAGTCGGATCCCTCGGTGTTTGGTGTTGATGATGCTCGGTTTTGGCAAGTCCACTATGGTTTGTGTATGGCGAACCTAAAACTTCGTGTGTCCGGAGCAGATGACAATGTTGGGAGACTGAGGGAGAAGATTTCCAGCTTGGTGAGGAACCGATTGGGAGGAGGTTATGGCACAGGAGGACAGAGATGGGAGGTTTCTCTTCAGTTCACTATCGAACGAACCTAGAATGTGTTTTGCGGAGAAGGATCAATAGTTCTATTTGGTGAACTATATGCCAATACTACATTTAGAATACCCTTGTACCATAGCAATGCAAGCATCATCTTGTTCATGATTTGTTTTCAAACCCATTCCATGTACTAAAACCGTACCAGTCATCATGCCTGGACACCACAAGTAACCTCGGGGCAGAAAGAGCCCCGGAGACTCGCTACGTGGTACTAGTAACGTTCAATGCGCCAATTGAAGGCTAGAGAACATTGAACTTAGGAATTCTGGGGCACGGTAATGGTAAGAGAAAGTGTTGTTCATATTCCACGGCATATATCGCTGCAGACCTTCTCCGCGAGAGAACTTGGGTTGTCGATATCAAACCACCGAATTTTGGTACATGTAGAAAAAGAAAAGGAAGCAAGGAAAATACAGAATGCTCAGCTTCCGCTCGTCACCAATTGTGCAAAAGAAATAAGAAATTATGAAGCAACAGCCAGAACAGCACCCTCCTCGGTCTTGGAGATGCCCTCACGCTCGTCCCTCCGTCGGCGCTTCTCAAGAATAGCCTCCCGGCGCTGTGCAAGCATCTTCAATTGGCGTTGCTCGACACCCTGGAGCCAGTAGCCAAAGCTGCCACCGACACTGGCGAAGAGAGGGTAGGCCCAGAGAGAGTCCTTGCAGAACATGGGACGCATCTCGATTCCGAGTTGCCAGAGGCGGACGGCAATGCCTGCGCAGAAGAAAAAAAATTAGCCCGATATTCTTCAAGAAAAGTATCTCATCCTCTGAAAGTAACATGGCAGAGGGCAATGACGCCTTTTATGGGGGTTGGTACGCACCGAAGCCGCTCCAGAAGAGCACTTTGTGGACCATGATTGCGGATCGGTCGGGGGCGGATAGGAGGGATTGAAGTAGACCGACGAATTCCGACTAGGCGTAGGAATTGAAAGAGGCAGCGGAGTCGTCGTTGCAGGTCCGCGGATCGCAATCGATGGAGTCGAGGCTGGGGGGAGAGGTCGCACCGGGCCAGGAGCGAAGGTCAAATCATGTGGAGGCAGTTGTCACCCCTCGGAACAACCGCAAAATGGTTGTTCCGCGGGGCCCTCCGATAAACGATAACGGGTTTGGCTTTCACGCGACCAAGCTCGAATAACTTAATCCTCCTGGGAATTCATATTTTATTTCGCCATCTTTTCACGATGGCTTCAGAGGCCATGGAGGATGTGCAGCCAGGGGGGAAGAGACCTGCGCTCGACATCGAGAGCCTGAAGCGCAAGAAGTTCAAGGCTGAGGACCTCCCTTTGTCCGCGGCGCAACACGCTGCCATTGACAAACTCCTGCACTCGTTCAAGAAGAAGGGCGGATTCGACAGTATACGGAAACAATTATGGGCTGATTTCAACGAGGGCGTATGTTTTCACCGTTGAGCCTTGGGACATTATCAGAATCCCTTTCTGTCTCGCTGGCCGCTAACATTTAATGCAGGAATCGAAGACCATGTTCACCGACCAATTGATCGCGCTCGCCGAGTCGGAGATCGAACGCGAACCAGCGCATCTCTCACGAGAGAGAGGTAAAGCCGCGACACTTATTGAGGGGGCTGTCGACCGTGGCGACGTTTACAAAAATGTGGAGGATTCCATCGACCGACTTGCTTCGAAGCATCTGGATGCAATTATGGATACAGTGCGCGCCATCCGCCGTCAAGATATTGGAGAAGATGCGGCTGCCAAAGAAGAGCAGGCTGGCAGCAAAACAGACGACGACTACAATGCCCATGTCAAGGAAAAACGGGATGCGCGCGACGAAATCTATCGTGAAGAGATGCGCAAACAAAAGGAAATCGAAGACGAACAGAAACGTATTCGAGACGAAGAATTACGAAAGAAACGAGAAATCGAACGCAAAAAGGAGGATGAAGAGCGAGCCCGAAGAAAAGAGATCGATGACCAACGACGGGCCGAGCGTGAGCGCCTGCGTGATGAACAACGTGCTCTTGATGAGCAGCGAGATCGTGAGCGAGATGAAAGGTGGCGCGGTAGAGATGACCGGGATCGTTATCGCGGTTGGGATCGTGATCGTAGCCGGACCAGAGACCGTGATCGTGATCGTGATCGTCTTCGTGATCGTTCGCCGGCATATCGATCAGATCGGGGAGGATCCCCACGCGGTCGAGACGCGAAAACAGACAGATCAAATACTTCCGCGATCCCAACACCAGGTCCAGCGCCGCCGGTGGACGAGAAATCACTCGAGGAGGCTGCTTTGCAGATGCTTTTGAAGGAGGGCGAAGAACTTGCAGCAAAGGCGCGACAAAAGCCAGAGTTTGACTTTGAAGAAGCCGAAGCCATCGAAAACGGACTCAAGCCAGGGTCTACAGCGACGGCCCCGGTCAAAACTTCAATTGAAACGAAGCCCGCTTCCACCAGAGCAACTACACCATCTCGACGACAGGAGCCAATGCCGGATCGAACCCGGAATCCGGACAGGGGGCGAAGTCGAAGCCGCAGCCGTTCTCATCGCCGATATGCTTCTCATTATGACCCGAACCGCCGTCGAGACCGGTCTCGGGATGCTTCAATTAGACCGCGCGATCGTGACGTAGACGAACGTCCTGGACTTCGCGACTTCCGCGAACGCGCTCGTGATGAGCGAAGCTGGCGGCCAACCCGTCGCAGCCGCAGCCGCAGTCGATCCGTTGGCCGGGGATGGGATCAGGATAGTAAACGTGAGCGAGATCGTCCCCGCTCAAGGTCTCGTGAACGTGATCATGACCGCCGGCGGCATGATCGCAGCCGAGACAGGAGTCGAGATCGTGATCGTGATGAGCCTCGCCGCCGCGCTCGCTCTCCGACTCATCGACGCTCACGTAGTCGTCGATCACGTTCCCGCGTTCGAGAACGAGTGAAATCTCGATCTCGATCCCGATCAGAAGAGAGAAGGCGCTCACGTTCTGGCGGACGCAGACGATCGCGATCCCGTCGCGCATCACGAACTAGGCGGCCTTCCCCAGCCCGGCGTGCCTCTCCCGGCGGCCTTGATATCGATCGCTACGTACCTTCGACTAGCAACCGCAGCAAATCTCCCCGACGCCGAATCAGGTCTCCAGAGCGTGAACCAAGACCGTCGGCAGCCCGATTTGGTGATATTGACAGATATATGCCTCCATCCGAACGAGAGAATGATCCCACTAGAGAGGCGGGCAAGGAAAAAGAGCCTGAAACCACTGTCACTCATGGCAAGGAGCCCGAGGAACGACGACCTCGTCGTCGAAGCCCGAGCCCCATTCGACGAAGAAGCCGCAGCCGCAGGCGAAGCCCTGAGCGACGAAGAAGCAACAGTCGCAGGAGAAGCCCTGAACGACGAAGAAGCAACAGTCGCAGGCGAAGTCCTGAGCGACGAAGGAGTCGTAGTCGACGCAGGAGCCGAAGCCGAAGTCGAAGAAGAAGCTTGAGCCGCAGACGAAGCCACCGATGAGGGTGAGATCCTTGCTCTCTACTTTTAATATGTACTATTACACTATTTGGATGCAAACTTATCCATTGAGCTATGAGATATTCTTTGCCGTAGTTTGTCCTTGGTCTCCATTCCATAGAGGTGACCTGTAAATAAGTACTAGAGTACTACTTCAAATAGTACTTTAGCTCGATCCATGGAATTGGCAGGGAATTTAGCCTAGCGTCCGGCTTATCGTTATCGGCTTGCTCCACCCACCCAAAAAGTTGTAATCACCCAGACCGCGCTCGACTTTTTTTTCTTTCTTTTTGAAACCACACCTGCAACAAAAATAGACAATCGAAGCCGTCAAGATACCCTCGAGAATTCTTGGATCGGTGTTGGAATCCTCGAACCGCTACAACGTCTGTCACTTGGCCACAGACCGCAGCTCTTGTCATCGCAGAATCGAAGCCGCATTACATCGCAGTCCTCTTGCATCGCAACAAGCCAAGCAAGCTACGATCTACCAAAAGAACCAGTCACTAGACGAATCTGGAAATCAAACAATATGAGCGCAACACACCAAGCTTCTAAACAAGAGCTTCCCGTGCGGACAGCTGTCCCCGTGGACGACGACGATTACACCTCATCCTCCGGCTCTTCCTCAGAGGAGAGCGAGGACGAGGAATCGGACGATGACGACAACGAGATGATGATCGACTCGAAGCCCACTTCTACCAAGCCCAAAACCACCAATGGAACGTCAATACCCAGTATTCCTGGACGCCCGAAGCCGCAAATACACCGCATGGAGGGGAGTTCAGACCTATTATCGCGCCTGTCGTCATTTTTGCCGCAAATGAAGGATGCGAATGAGAAGCTTGAGAAGGAAATTGCTGCCGGAAGGGGTGATGCTATGGTGTTGGATTCTGTGGATGATGGGAAGGATTACATAGAGATGGTATGTTGAGTCTCTTCTTCTTCTTTCTTTCTTGGATTAGAATTGAGAATGATTGCTAACTGTCCTTAGAATCTTGGATTAGGAGTACTTAAGGAAAAACGCGCAGATGGTCAGGATTCTTCGAGTGAAGATGAGAGCGACAATGAGGACCCCTCGGGTTCTGCGAAAACAAAGCAACACAAGAAGAACCCAGACGTTTTGGATACGCTCATGGGAGGGAAAAAGGCAGATACGGAGAAGCCATCTATCGAGGAAATGGCAGAGTAAGGCTTATCTTGTCTAATGATCTACATTGCATTCAAATCGCATCTATGCATTTGCCGGGGTATATTATTCCAGACTTCTACAAGGACATTAATGGGAAAGACATGAAGATTCGTACATTTTGATGCATCCGCCAAAGCCTCCAAAAAATTCTAGTTAAAGACGACAATAAAGAATTGAACAAAAAACAAACATAACGAGTATCTATTTATATGCATGGACCCATCACATACTATGGCTGAGCCATATGATTAAAATTTGATAAAAAAGGAGACCCTGATGTCGATCCAGGATCTAGGAAACTTCCTTGATGCGGCAAGTCCAGCCAGACTCCTGGCTCAGAAGAGGCAAGCTATACGGAAATTAAAGATTAGCATATAATTCATGACAAGACAAGACAAGACGAAACATTGTCAGCTTACCTTGCTCCAAGGCACCAGCCCAGCTCGTTACCCTTGATCTTCTTGGCAATCTTAACCTCACGGGACAGAGGCATCTCGTAACCAGTGTGCAGCAGGCTCAACATAAAGTTGAGGTCCATGCACCAATCAGGACGATCACGGAGCTCGGTTAGGGCGTTCTCCACGCCAGCAAAAACACTCCAGTGCTCCTCACCACCACAGACATTGGCGGTGAGCTGATGAAGCTCGTTAAGAGTGAAAGACGAGGGCATGCCCAAGGGATCAGTGCGGTCGAAGAAGTAGGAGAAGATATACACATCCTCGCGGGCAAAAGTCTTTTCCAGAGAAGGTTGGTGAACACCGTTGAAGGAGCAGGGAGCCAGTGTACAATCGGCTTCCTTCTTCAAGATCTTCTCAGTAAGAGCACGGCATTGAGGAGCAGCGGTCGTCTCCTTCGGGCCAGCCATGATAACAGTGACTGCTGCCTTGCCTAGAGCGTGATCCGCGGGCAATTTGATTTCAACTTCCTTCTCCATATTAGGCTGAATGCAGGGGTTGGAGATAGGAGTCTTCAACCAGGACAGGTCCTTCGGGTTCTTAGCTAGCATAGCATCCAAAACCAGAAGGTTAATGGAATTGCGAGCAGACATCAGACCGTAGCCAAGGTGAGAATGCTGGTAGAGATCGAACTCGTGACCACCAAATTTCAACTCGTACTTGTGGTCGCCCTCTGCCAAGTGCTCGGGCATGCCACCAGCCTTGCTCTTCTCAAAAGTGGGCTGGAAGACGATCTGAGTGGAACCACCGCCAAGATCGAAGACAGCAGCAGTTGGGTTCTCGTCGGGGCCACCGATTTTACCAAGAAGATAGTTGGTAGTGATCCAGGCATAGACGCCCTCATCAGAGCCATCCATGATCTCAACACCGCCCTTCTCGCGGGAGACGACTGGGAATGGATAGACAGTCTCCAAACGGGTGCGGACAGCCTCCAGAATGTTCTTGCTCATCTCGGCACCCAAGAGACGCAGACCAGCGGTGGCCTTGACCGCGACGGGGGTACACGACTTGTACTCGGCGGGAACGTTGGACATGGCCACCTCCATAAGAGGGTCCAGACTCTTAGCAGCGCCCTCAGCATCCTCCTTATAAGAGCTGAGACCGGAGCTGCCGCCCTCCTTCTTTGCGGTTTGCTCAAAGATCTCGTTCTCGAGTTCGGGGGTTGGGCCGCAGTTGTTGAAACGGTAGACGTGGATACGGGAACCAGTGCTGCCAGCGTCGATCATGAGGGCATACTGAATCAGAGGCTTGGAAGAATCGTGAGACTTGGTACACTTGGTCTGTACACCGGAGGCAGATTTGTCTATAGATCAGAGAAAGTCGGGATTAGTCTCAGTGCATGTAAATTCCTGATGATAGGAGTTCGCATACCTCCAGATAAACCCGTGTAACTAGAAGACTTCGATGGCGACAGCCACAAGAGCACCATGAAAATAAAACCGACAATGGCACCGGTTTTCAACCACCGGGATCTTTGGCTTTGAGAAACCATGTTGGCGGATTTTTGATGGGAAAGGTGGACGGAATGCGGGAGCAGAGAACCGTGGCTCTGCGAGACGGAGCGTTGACGGGCGCCCAGGCTTTCAATTGGGATATTAAAGGGTTGTTGGCTGTCAACTCCAGTCGACATACGAGCAATCTCGGAGAGATAAGGCGGAAGAAACGACAGGTGGCGAAGTGGCCGGGTAGGTAAGGATTGAACGATCGGAAGGGTTTAAGCAAATGAAATCAAAGGAACCAACGACATTGAACCGGGCGAACAAACCGACTCCAGTAAGGCACAGGGGATGGGGAAGTTGAAGGGGAGAAAAGAATTAGGAGAAGTCGGGAAATTAGATGCTGCAAGAGGAAAGGAGACCATCGGAAATGTTTCGTGTGGCGCAAGTGTGTGGCGTGGCTCTTACTCGATCCGGTCTTCCCCAACCACAGATCATTGGACCCCGTTTGGAGCTTCTCCTCTCCTCACCTTTCTCTTCTCCGGCCACGGTCAACCACAGGAAGTTATTTTTTTACGATACCCACACGGGGTATATACTCCCTTCTCCTGCTTTTCCTCCTCCTCCTCCTCCTCCTTCCACCAACATGAACCATACCCGCGGCCTTGCGTCAACTGCGCAGGCGTTGCGCCATACCTTCTTCACACCTCTCCACACCTCTAAGACGGGGCTCTTACAACCAAGACTATACCAGAACGGTCTGCAGCTCAGATCCTTCCAGTTGTCTCGAAACCTCGCCGGTCCCAAAGTTACCACGCCAGCTTCGACCTTGATTAAAGACGAATCGATCGGGTCTGCATGGGTGCAAGTGGTCAACGAGGAAGGAAACCTCGACGAACCTCGAAAGCTCTTTGACGTCCTCACCTCATTCGATCGCAATAAGTTCTTCTGCGTTCAAGTGGCCGCCGCCGCCGGGCCGAGCAAACCGCCCATATGCAAGATCTTGAATAAGAAGGAGTATAGGGAAAGCGAGAAGGCCAAAATCAAGGCGGCCAAATCGGCAGTTCAGTCTACAAAACAGGTCGAACTGAACTGGGCTATCGATGCACACGACCTGCAACACCGTTTGAAGCAATTGACCAACTTTTTGGACAAAGGACGGAAAGTGGAAGTCGTCCTCACTCGCAAGAGACACAAGCGATCAGCGACGGTGGACGAAATCAAGAACGTCATGCAGTCAGTCATGGATACCATCCGAGAGGCAGGGGGTACTCAAACCAAGGCGATGGAAGGAGAACCGGGCAAGCATGTTATTCTCACTGTGACCAAGGAGAAATAAATTTGAATCAGTATTCTCCATCTGGGGTCACTTTCCATTGGGGATAACTCGGAAGTTCTCTGTATATAGCGATCTATTGTATACTAACTGCATTATGGCATATGTTCCATCTATCAAGTATCGGCTTTAACCATGTGATTGGAAACTCGGTCAATATACTCCGTACTACTAGTATGTTATAAATTCCGACAGATCTCTCATAAATGCTACAGAGGCTGTTATGTAGACTCGTCAAGTAATATCAATCTGGTAGCTACTCGTACTAGCTGTATAGATACACAGCTATTGCAACACAAGAAGTGTGAACTACTACTGCTCGTATGTTCGTATGTACGAGACTCCTAATGACAGCGGACCTCCGCAATTCGCAGCATCTGATTGGCTGTGGGTGGCCAGCGGGTGACTAAGGTTTTTCCGGTTTTGACCGGAAAATTGGGTGTTGATTCTCCCCCGAAGTTTGACCATCTTGTTTCTTAATTCCATCTCGCGCTTCTTCGTTTGGTTGTTCTTGTGGCTTCCCATATCGCAAAGATGTCGTTCTCCCGTTCCATTAACCTCCTGGCGCGCACCAGCCGCTCCTCCCTGCTGCGCCCGCGCGCCGTCAACCCCGTTCACCACGTCTTCACTAGCGACAAGCTGGCTGTTCGTGGTCTGGCTACTGCTTTCGAGCGTACCAAGCCCCATGTTAACATTGGTACCATTGGTCACGTCGATCACGGCAAGGTAAGATGCAATTCCATCGCAATTCCATGCCTACCATCTGACAATGACCCCCCATCCATAGACCACCCTGACTGCCGCCATCACCAAGTACCAAGCCTCCAAGGGCCTTGCCAACTTCCTTGATTACAATGCCATTGACAAGGCACCCGAGGAGCGCAAGCGTGGTATCACCATCTCCTCTGCCCACATTGAGTTCCAGACCGAGGATCGCCACTATGCTCACGTCGACTGCCCCGGTCACGCCGATTACATTAAGAACATGATTACTGGTGCTGCCAACATGGACGGTGCTATCGTTGTCGTCGCTGCCTCTGACGGCCAGATGTATGAATGACCATTGATCAATTCTTTCCGTGGAAATACACGCTAATATCCTTTTCTTCTCATTAGGCCCCAGACCCGTGAGCACTTGCTGCTTGCCCGTCAGGTCGGTGTTCAGAAGCTCGTTGTTTTCGTTAACAAGGTTGATGCTGTCGAGGACCCTGAGATGCTGGAGCTCGTCGAGCTTGAGATGCGCGAGCTGCTCTCCACCTACGGCTTCGAGGGTGAGGAGACCCCTATTATCTTCGGCTCTGCCCTCTGCGCCCTTGAGAACCGCCGCCCCGACATTGGTACCGAGCGTATTGATGACCTGATGAAGGCTGTTGACACCTGGATTCCCACCCCCGAGCGTGACATGGACAAGCCCTTCCTCATGTCCATTGAGGAAGTCTTCTCCATCCCCGGTCGTGGTACCGTCGTCTCCGGCCGTGTTGAGCGTGGTCTCCTGAAGAAGGATACCGAGGTTGAGATTGTTGGTGGTGGTGAGGTCCCCATCAAGACCAAGGTCACCGATATCGAGACCTTCAAGAAGTCCTGCGATGAGTCCCGTGCCGGTGACAACTCCGGTCTGCTTCTCCGTGGTATCAAGCGCGAGGACATTCGCCGTGGTATGGTCGTTGCCGTTCCCGGTAGCACCAAGGCCGCCCAGAAGTTCCTGGTCTCCATGTACGTTCTGACTGAGGCTGAGGGTGGTCGCCGCACTGGTTTCGGCAGCAACTACCGCCCCCAGGTCTACCTCCGTACCGCCGATGAGCCCGGTGACCTTACCTTCCCCGGTGAGGACCAGTCTATCCGTGTCCAGCCCGGTGACAACGTCGAGATGGTTCTCTCGACTCACCGTCCCGTCGCCGCCGAGGCCGGTCAGCGCTTCAACATCCGTGAGGGTGGCCGTACCGTTGCCACTGGTCTGATCACCCGTGTGGTTGAGTAAAGGGCCTGATGGCTCCAAATAATAATCGGGCAGAAAACCTCTGTTCGACCTGTATTATGACACCCCTTTTTCTTTCTTGTTTGTCTGTCACCAATTATTCACAGCGCGGGATCATCGATCAGCCACAAGGGTTCCAGGGGTAATCCGGAGTTTTTCGTTGCAATCTTGTTCATGTACTTCTCTATATTGGAGATGTAGCTTGTTGTATCTTCTCCCCTCACCCTGTGGAAATGTATTCAAAATAAATTTTAACTCCCACCATCTAAAGCCTCAGAGTTTCTCAGTAATTAGTAGTGATTTGATAGTAGTTACATGGTGCCATTCCAGTGAATGTATGTGAACTGTCCACAAACACCCGTGGATGGCGTTCGGACAAAATAGGCGGACGAAATGTGCGGGTTTCGGACCAGCCGGCTCTTCCGGGCGTGGCGTTAGTATAGAAGCTCGTGCCCTTTGTGTGACAGCCAGCTCTATGCCGGCAATTGGGACGATCGAACGAGCAATTTCGCCCAACCAAGATGCTATTTACCTATCTGAACACAAAATATTTTACTGAGGAGAGGGCCTTCTGCTGACAAGTAGGGTTTTTTATCAGTAGCCTATACCAACGTACAATCTACTAGCTACCTTATTACCTTCAAGTTGGGCGTCTCATTTAGAGCCTCTAAAGGGATGGAGTAGAGTTCATAATATAACGATTCTAGTAGTTGATATCCAGGTTGAATTGAGTTCTCTTTGGGTAGTATTTTGAGCTTGCAGAATCAATTTCAATATTGGATTTTATTCCAAGGTCATGTTCGCAAATTGCAGTCAGTACTAAGTAACCTTAAGGCTCTTATAGAACCGAGATTTATACTCGATCATGCCCCCTTATCAACACGCACCTCAAATGGTAAACCCGCATGGGGGTCGCCCCTAGGACTATGGCCTCGTAAGGCTTGCTGCCTCGTCAATTATCCCCCGAAAAATATCTCCGTTCGTTTCGTCTCCTCTCATATAACTCTCCAAGCCTTTTAGTCCATTTGTCTCATGGCCCGAGTGGCCCACTCATGCCCCTCATCCCGTGGACTAGCCTAGTATTCATTTGCTGCTTCTGGCCCTGGCATAGACAGGCGATTCGGTTTTCGTCCAAATAAGAACAGCTGTCATGAGTTCTTGGTCAGACACATGCGGTCCGCCTCGCAAGAGAATGAGGAAAGGGACGAAAAGCTGCATTGAATGTACGTTCGGGATTTTCTCGTGTCACTTGCTTGTTCTATATTGATTTCTAATGTAGGTCGACGGCGGAAGATCCGCTGTACTTACACTGCCGATCACCCTAATGTCTGCAACGAATGTCGTCTTCGAGGGTCCAAATGCGTCGACCAGGAACATAATGAGGATGATCGGAGTATACCACCAGGGTCTGAACAGGGAGAGCAGCGCTACAGTCTCCGGGAGCGGGTGGCTCAGTTGGAGAATGTAGTGCAGGATCTGGTCAAACGATTGGATCAGCAAAGTACTACTGTTAGCTCACCTGGTAAGCGGCAGATTCAAAGCCCATTCCATAAGCTGGAACACTTTCCTCCGGGAACTCACCTTTGCAGATGCTGACTCTATACCCCATAGCTGATAACCCCACAATCAGTAATACGTCTCCCGCCTCGGCCGAGTCGGACAAACTTGGTCCGTCTAGCATTCAGATACAGAATGCCCCAGTCATGCAGCTCTTCGACAATTACCTTGTCAGTCGACAGGAAGAC